ATCAATATATAAATATATATATATATATCTATAGACTCTCACATTTATATATAAGTTAGCTAAAATACATTGAAAATGAAGAAGAAATTCACTTTAAACGACTTTGACGTTCCAAATATTCTACATATAATAAAAATCTTGACAAGTATTTGTTCATTTATCTACAATGAGACTTACATTTGAATAACTTTGGTTTTGGAACCGTTCTGTTCAGTGGCCACAGGCTTTGTGTGGCAAAAGTTCATCGCACAAGGAGTGGAAATCCACCCATGAATCAAGACAAAGGTTAAGTTCTGATTGTTCTTTTTGCATCTAAAATGTTGCTGACAAAGTTTCTGTAAGTCTGAACAGGAAGGGCAAAGTGAGCAGCAGGTATTCGATCACGTTTTCCACTATATCAAGATTTGTTTCACGCAAAAGCTGGCAGGAATAAGAACGCAGGAATTATTAGTTTTCCAACTAGCATTTTGGGAACATTAAACACTACAATTGTTACTAAATGAATAAAAGGTTTATTGGAACAAATCATTTACGTCTCTGTTGAATAGTTTTAAAGGGTATTAGGTGTTGTTGGAACAGTTTCATGGAAAATTAAGAACTTGGAAACACAGAGTTGTACAGAGAAATAACCCCCCCCCCCACACACACACACACACTCACACACACACACACACTGCCTACACGAGGTGTACTGTAGCTGAACCTGCGTGTGAGTTACACAGGAAGCTTTACCCTCTAAACAAGAAGTAATTTGCTGTGCGCAATAAAAGGGATAAAAACCATGTGCAAAAATAAAAAAAATAAAAATAAATCATCAAAACTTTGGCAGAGTGTATATTATTTTGGGTTCTGGTTAATATCTGGATTATGTTGTAGATAATTTGCATGTTTTTTTTTTTCTGGAGGGTGGGGGAGGTGCCATGTAGTAATCCAACAAAAGGATAATTCTGGCTTAATTAAAGGAATGCAATAATATAAGAATGTGTTAGAAAATCTAATGATATGGTTGAGAAAAAGACAATACTTCTTTGCACAGTGTGGTATTTTTGTTCACAAATCTTAAGAGTGGGGTTAGAGTACTACAGAAAAAAAAAGTGGTTAGAAGTGTCTGAATGGAGTTTGGCAAGGGTGAAAAATTTTAAGCACTACTCCTCACCCTCCACCTCCCATCATCCACCCCCCCACCCCCGCAGCCCCCTGAATGTCTGCACACACACTCAGATGTCAGAGAAGTCTGAGTGACTCTTTCCCTGTCACTGGTTTCCTGCTGTGAAAACAGCACCAGTCCGCTCTTCTCACCACCTCCCCCACCTCCCCCCTCTTCCTCTACTCTGGACGCCAGCCTGACATTCCAGACCTTGTTCGTTAGCGCATATTTTTACCCACCGTTACTAAATTAGGAAGGCAGAGCGAGCGAATGGCGGGCGGCTGCCAAGGCAGAAGAAGAAGGGTCTGATCAGGCCTGGGTTTGCTGAGGGCCCATGCCAACCCCACCAGCTTCATTAAGAGCCACTTGGGTTTCAGAAATAGAAGCCCAGCAGAGACCGCGGCCAAACAGAGCCCTGAACGACCAGCCAAAAACTCGAGGGACAAACAAACAAATAAACGAGTCGTCTCATGGCCTGCCAGAGTCAACCGGCAGTAGCCATCCCAAGGAGCCAGCAGAAGTTATCTTAGGCAGTGTTGCACATGAAATGTGCCCTGCTCCGAGTTTAAAAGTGGCGATCGCACATCCTCTGCCAGACCAATACAGAATAAATTAACCTAGAAAACTGTCCCCGGAGACCAATCTCTCAAAGCAGTCACACACGTTACTTCTTGTTTATTTGGGGAGGATATTGGGCACTGATGTAAGAAGGGATATTTTACAAGTAAATGTACATTTCCTCTTCTTGCTGCCTGAGTACACTATAGCTTTTATTACACGGCACATGATCACGTGGAACTTGGAATTTCCTTGTCTTTCGTTTATTTTACAAGGTATTTTATCTCTAGTTATTAGTCCAAATTTATGCATCTATCATGCAAGACACAGGGTAAATAGATAAATACTCTGAGTAGTAAATACTCAGAGGAAAAGTATGTTTTTGGTGCTTATTATCTGATTTATTCACATGGGAGCTAAAGACCCTGAGAGAAAACGTTTTTAATTCCAGGAAATGAAGCCACACACAAAAGTGCAGTAGAAAAAAAAAAGACAACTTTTTAAGCATTAAAAGGGAGGACTGTCTTTCAGCTTCATTGTTCACCGTCTCATTTGAGTGGCACCTTTCATTTGAAGACTGCATTGCCTTCAGCCCATTTAACAGCAACCCTTTAAAACTAATGAGCTATTAGCTGATGGCTTTCAACAACTTGAGGGTCAGATTTGCTTCCCCCCACAAAATGCATTAAGACGCATAGATCTGCAACATTCATGATTTTGATTCACAACGCTGTATATTAAGTTCATAAGAAGAAGATAAACTTCTTTAAACAGTTCTTGATTTGTGTGTCTCCTGCAGTCCATCTCCCTGATCGAACACATCATAACATTAAACGGTGGTCTATGAAAACATGATCAAATGCACAGAATACAAAAAGACTTAAAAATGTGTAGCGTATAATTGTAAGGAGCATCCAAAACCCAAGCACTTACTTCTTAAAGAACACAAAATCATCTTAGCAACCTGTTTAAAAAAAAACACAGCATGTCTGACAAAACTCTTGTATACCTATGCTGACATCTTGTGGCCATAAATTGTACTACAACTTTTAAAGAAATTTGGAAAAATGGTTGACTTTAAAGGAAACAATCACTGTCCAGCCAAGCGAGGAAAGAACATTTAGATTAATCCATAAGTGATTAGATAATTCAATTCAATTCAATTCAATTCAAATATACTTTATTAATCCCAAAGGGAAATTATTTTGTTGTTGTAACTCGTCATCCTCATTTCATTAAGAGATGTTATAGATGCTGATGGCTGCAGGCAGGAAGGATCTCTTGTCCATCCCACAGTGGATCCCAAGAAACTGGCTGCAGATGCCGTCCGATCCGTCCGTCCAGACTCAGCAGGCCTCTCAGTTCCCCCAGGCTGTAGAACCACCTGAATGCCGGGCAGAACTCCTCTATGTGATGGCCACTCCTCCCAGCAGTCTGCCGAGCTCCTCGTCGCTGCGGACAGTCAACTGTAGGTGCCGAGGGATGATCCTGTCCTTCTGCTGTCATGAGCCATGTTTCCTGCTAGTTCCAGGATCTCAGTGGTCAGGCACTCAAGCACAGCCGGCAGGTAGATGAGAATGCGTCCACAGAACATCCTTTCAACTCGTTTGAGATTTGGTGCTGTAGCTGAGATATTATTTGAGCTTTTGAGATGTTAATCAGCTGCTGTTAGTTGTAGAAAACCGCCTTGTTGCCATGGTTACGCATCATAACAAATGTCCAAAACTAAACAAGTTTCAGTAAAAAATCTTTCCAGCTGCACAGCATCCGATACCAGAGGAAACAATCATCCAAAAAAATGTGATTTACATCCAGAAAAAGAGGAATTAAAGTTTCCAAATGCAAAATCTCAGAATGAAAGTAGCAGAGCTGCTCCAACATGCAGCCACCTTGAGCGGCACAATTTGGGTATGAAGGAAACTTCTCACCTAGGATGATCGGTCTACCAGGAACTTATTATTAATATTATTTTAAGTCTTTCTTGCCTTTTCAGCTGATGGGAAGAAACAGTTTGCTTCTTTACTGTCAGTGAGGATGTCTTCGCTTCTTGATTGTAATGCCATACATGTCTAAAAAGGCAAAATAGTTAAACTTTTGCTTTCGTTAGTGATATTGACATTTGCTGATGATTAGTCAATTAAATGAAATTGTTTAGCAGCACCTGTCTGTTAACTGTTAACCCTTTTTTTTTGTTTTTATGGATGCACATACTGTTTTTTTTCCACACACAACAGTTTGGGATCTTTATTTGTTATGTTAATCTCTTACTCACCTCATGAGAGTCCAGTGACGGTCAAATTTCTTCTTGAATGAGCTCAAAGTAACACACGAGATTTTAGAAGAAACTTTTAGCTTTTTGAATTATAAATATTATATGATTGCATGTTTTGACTTTAAAAGAAAACATCGCAAACTTGTGTTTGCGGTTGTCTATCGAAATGTCAAACACAGTTTTTATTTATTTATTTGTGTCGGACAACGTATTTCCACATTTGTTTATTTTTGACGAACTATATTCATGAACGCACCCTTGCTTCAATACGCGCCTTACTACTGCAAAATTGTTTTTTAAAAAAGAAGAAAAAAATACCTGTGGTTTATAGTTTCATTTTTGCGAGTCATTGTGTGTATGTGTCGTCGAAGGACACATTCCAGATAAACGTCAGTTAAATGTTTTTCAAGAACTGTGATCTTGAACATATGTTCTTGAATGCATCCCACTTCCGTGTGTCCCTATGTTTACCTTCCCCTTCGGGTTTCTTCCTTTAAAGCAGCAGAGGCAACAAAACGCGGCTTTAGGAAGCTAGCTGACTAAACTAACAACCATGCTCCCAGGGTTTATTATTAAGTATCGCAATGGTCGTCGGAAAGTATTATTTTCTAAAATGTGAAGCCTAGTCTTCATGTTCTGTATTTTACCGCGGTCATTTTGGACAGAAACAGAAGCTAGCTTACTGTAGCGCGCCAATGTAACCACGGCAACCAAACAGGAAGTTGACCGCTGCGACGTCTGTAAATATGGATGACGGTCATTCTGAGACAAAAGCACGAATTTATTCACCGGAGTCCTCGACTGGGTTCGTTTTTTTTTTTTCTTTTGTTGTTTCATTTAGTCCTGAAACATGTTCACTAATGTCTTGAATAAACGACTTGCTCCAAATTATTTTCTCCATCACAAATAACGTTATAACTTTTTCTTTTCATATATTGTTTCGAATTTGAGACTTGTGTGATATTGTAATTAATCAATTCCAACAGATTCTCTGGAAACGTGGGAACTGCCAGCAGAGGCGGAGATGTATTTACTGATCTGAGTTCAAATGGACTGAAGTTTGCCAAGAAGGAACTTTTACTGATGCCTCCTGAAGAAAAGCTTAAACACTTTACTAATCGGGCTCAAGACAGTGAAGACAACCAGCAGGTAGGTATTAATAGTTGTAAATGAGGTCTTTTTTGGTCTTGTTTTCTGGTCACTCTGGATAAAATAATATCAACAACATAAAATGTAAACCATAAAGGGACATGAGGCACTTACAGGCCTAAAAATATTTATCATCATTAAATATAGTCTTGTCAAATTAGTTTAAAGCCTTTTTAAGTTTCCTCAAACCACATCATTAAGTATGAAAACTGCAAAATCATGATTATACTAGTGCAAGTATTCCAATAAATTTGTCTATACAGTATAAAATGTGTTAAAGAATAGATTCTACATGTTTCTGTGTTTCATTAAAACACTAAAATCCAAAGTTATTCAATGTACAGTTTTAAACAGTGATACCAGCCTTCAAATTTAAACGACTAGAAAAAACCTGGACAAAGATTCAGTTTTAAAGAAAGAACAATCCAGGTTTAGTGTTTCTGTCTTGATGATCTGACTTTTGGATGCAGGGCGCAGTGACTCACAAACACTGATGATTAATGACAGTTCTGCTGTCCGTTTAGTTCGACGCTTGCATCCAGGACTTGGTGCGATGCGTCGCTTTGACGAGACTTGTTTATGGGGAGAGACATCTAAAACTTGCCCAGTCCCATGCCAGACTGGCCAAAGCATACTTCCAGTTCAAAGGTAAGTTTAAAGCAATACTTTATTCTTAGTCTGTATACAATGATGCTTTATCTTGTCTGTAAAAGCCCAAAATATGTTCTTTGTTTTAGCTTATTTATATCTCTCATCTTACAATTTAATTAAATATCTGCCCGAGTCTTGGGGTTATGTTGCTTCTACATTTTATACAATAAGTGTTGCTAATGTAAAGGCTTATACATAACTTTTTATTATGTGACAATAGGAAAAAACTCACATTTAGTGTCACATGTAGTTTTTTAACTTGTCATTGTTTTCTGTTGTGTTCCCGAGGTTGGGGACTGCAGGCCCAGGAACACTTGGCCAAAGCCAGAGACCTCCTACCCTTCTACTCGTCCTGCAGAGATGAGAAGCTTGATGTTCTCTTGTGTCTCCTAAACGTGAACCTCACACAGGGAGCTGCTGCTTTACTTACAGACAAATATCCTTGCCATGCTGCGTTTCCTGTATTACACAAGACTGAGTGTACAGTAAACTTAAATAAAATAAAATAAAAACATAGTCCTTAACCTTTCAACTTTAGAGGAGGCGGATTCATCTTTACTCAAGGCAGAGCAAATCATGGAGGAGCTTTACCAACAAGATGTTATTAAGCAAGAAGAGAAGACAAAGACTCACCTGGAAATCGCCAGTGGTTTATACAGGTAATGTGCAGGAACAGTGTTGCATTGATGTATTTTGCTAAGCAGCTGAGCACAAAGTTTCAGTTTTTTTCCAAATTTTCAGAAATACTGTACACATTTAATCAGATTTAAAACGTTAATTTCCATTGCTGCGATCTAGTTCTGACGCATTTAGTCAGATAGATGTATGTAATCTATAATAAAGTGCTATGTGTTGTCATCATTATGTTTCTATACAATGATGAAATGAGTTCTCTGCATTTAACCCATCACACGTGAGATGCACCCAGGTGGAGCAGTGGGCAGCTATGTACGCACCTGGGGAGCAGTCAGGGATTGGGTGTCTGTTGGATTAATAAATGTCCTGTTATTATCCGTTTACTCAGATAAGCCACTCTGAGGACACAAGAAGATTTTTAACTGGTCGTTTACTTGCAAAGGCAGAGTTCACAACAGGTGACGCGTTACATGCTTGGTAGGTCATGAGTGTGTGTACCGGACAGTGAGGCAGGAAGTGTTTTTAAAATGCTTACAGACTAGTGACCTCGATCTGCCAGCTATGCCGGCTCAAATCAGCTCCTCTCTGAGCAGACAAGCACTCTCTGACCTCACACACATGGTTCAACATTACTTTAGCATTAGTTAGTGACAAACATCCATAAACATATACCTAAATTTCCCTGACAGTGTCTTTACTCAAGGACACCACAACATGTGGGCATGAGACTGCGACTTTCTGGTGCCCTACCTCAACACCATCTCGGGCCCCCTAAATGTATCCCCCTTTGTCCTTTATCTTCTGAGATCTGCAGTAAGATGTTGAAGTCGAGTCGGGTTTTGTTTTGATTTAATCAAAATATAAAATTATTCAAGCGAGTGTTTAATATCCAGCACTCAAAAAAAAGTTGTTATAGCAAAAACCCAAATTGTTAGTTTGACCACAAGATGGCGCTAGTTTCATTTGATGATTTTCTTTTTTCATTTTATTTTACAACTTTATTTAATTATGAACATCATTAAATGTCCTTTACAACTAACTTCAGCTCTCTTTCTGCAGCAGAAAAACTTACATTTTTTTTAAATAATTGTCCAACGTTCAGCAGGAAGCCAAAGTGTTTTGTGTTTACAGATGTTTTTGGTCGCAGTGGTTTTGTTTTTCAGTGAAGCAGAAGAAATAAAGGGGGAAAAGTATTCGTTTTAAAGCTTGATGTCCCTCCACCCTTTCCCGGCAAGTCTTTTGATTGTTTTAAAATATTATTTTGCGTTGGCTACTGTACATTTTGTTGCATTTAAAGATATCGCAAAGGTTTTTATTCCTCTTTTAAATGTGTGTTGCTTTATTTACTGTAGACTGATGGCCATTTTCTGATTTATTTATGATCTCAGGAGGTGTCAGGGGTGGTATCAAGGTTAGTTCTGCATGCTCAGGAAAAGATTAAAGAATTAAAGGATCATGGTGGAGACAGCCAGTGCTGTGCAGACTGATGGTCTGTTTTGGGAACTACCGGTATGTGGCATGGCAACGTATGAAATAGCATCCGCTTGTCATAGTTCAGGTCACTTGCAATTAAATTAAAAGCACAACTGGGAAAGAATATAATGCAATAATGTTTATTTAGACCCAGTTTTCCTGTTTTTATATGTTGACAGATCTGGTGGCTATAAATGGTACATTTTCTGGAGCTGCACTCAATGGAATTTGCAAATGATACCATACTTATCTGTTTCAGAGAGTCGGTGTTTGTTGACATGCTGTGAGTAGTTTAAAAAATGTGCAGACCCTGGCTGGTGATTATAAGCTTGCTGAATCTCTTTTGTTGGTGGTGAGTAAGAATTTGGCATGCTTCTAAAGCTCTATCAGTCAGCACTGTTGTTTTTGAGGGGAGCATTCTCTTCAAATCCTGGAATAATGATGTAAGCTGTAGATCCTGGTTCAAACATTGTGCAAAGTTTTAGGTTCACTCTCAAGGTGGGCGTTTTAGATGTGGTGCGTCTTTCAGACTGACTGTGGCTTTATCTGCATCTTTTGTGTTCTTATATTTTGATTTGTTGCTGCTCGTTTCTTTGGCTCTTTCTGACTTTTGTCATGAATTAACAGATTTAGTGGACAGGTTTTATTCAGTTATGTAAAGGTCTGTTCTAGTGCTAGATGACAAATAAAATAAAAAAATCTCTCCATCTCTGCACGTCTTACCAGATGTTGGAAAGTGTCTATGGGCACAAAATCAGGCCGTAAATATTGTGCACGGTTTAGATTTTCTTCATTGTGTGGCTTTTGACAGTGAGTACCTTTAATCAGAACTGATGTCAAGGTTCTTTATTTGTCATTCGCATCGCATGTGGTACATGCGGTGGAACGAAACTGTGTACACAGGGTCCCAGTTACATCCAGCAAAAGTATCAAATGTAAAAGAAAGACAGTAATAAGATCTAAGATATGAACTAAGAATATGCTAAACATCCTGATGCATGCTCAATAATCCAGGTAGAAAAATCTAAAAACGTTAAATCTGGTCCTCTGGACATTCACAAAACAAAACAAAATAAAAGTAGAAACGTTTCGTCTTTCATCCGAAAGACTTCTTCAGACTGTCTTTCGGATGAAAGACGAAACGTTTCTACTTTTTTGTTGTTGTTTGTTTGTTTTATGTTTTGTTTTTTGAATGTCCAGAGGACCAGACTTAACTTTTTTAGAATACTCTAAACACTTAATAGTGCAAAAACAATACGCCGAACAACAGCAGCACGAACATGAGTCTGTGTGAGCAGATGAGTATGAATGTGTAGCACAAATGGATACAGCAGCATAAAATAAATCAGCAGCATGAAATAAATCAGCTGCATAAAATAAATCAGCAGCATGAGATCAACAGCACATATCAACAATCAAGTGGCATTACAGTGATTTTTTTTTCACAGTGATAATCCTGATTAGGGTCTAACAGCTTCATGGTAGTCTAGTGGTTCTGTGCTTAATGCACCTCAACCTTCTGCCCGAGGGGAGCGGGGCAAAAAGTGTGTGCTGGGTGAGTGAGGTCCTTCATGATGCAGGTGGCTCCCTTCCTGCTTCTGGAGGTGTAGATGTCTATGATGGTGGGGAGGCTGACTCAAACAGTCTTCACCAATCTCTGCAGAGCTTAAGTAGCTCTCACTCACACCTAGAGACAATTTAGAGTTACCGATCAGCCTAACATGCATGTGTTTGGTCTGTGGGAGGAAACCGGAGTACCCGGAGAAAACCTACGCATGCACGGAGAGAACATGCAAACTCCACCCAGAAAGGTCCTCGGCTGAGATTCGATCCGGCAACCTTCTTGCTAAGAGGCAATGGCTTTACTAACTGAGTCAACTGAGCAGAATACATTTTTTAATAAATTTTTTTAAAATCTTTCAGTGAGGTGTATTGGAGCAAGCAGTTATATTTTTGTCTCCCCTGTTTTTGACATTTGTTTAATTTTCCTGGAAAAAATGAATCAAGTCAGCAAACCTACGTCAGCGACCTTATGGAAACATGTACAAAAGACCACTGTGTGGCTAGCTTGGCAACACATTTTCTCATCTTTAGTTATATTAAATTCCTGCTTTGAGCACTACACTTCAGTGGCTTATTGCCTTTCTGGAACCGCACAAGGATGCAGAGTTAATGAGAATATAGAGCAGGCTTGTCTCTGTTCATGAGAACTCATTCAATGTAGAAACGAAAGTGTGATCCAGCCATCATTCCAGCCCAAAAAGGATCTGAAATGTCTGCCCAGTGAACATTTCTGGGTGGGGAACGTTGAATGTCCGTCAAAGCACTTCAGTATGGAGAAATGAGCATTTGTAATGTTTCCACAACCTTTGCTGTTACTTTAAAGTGACCGAGCCACAAATACCCAACTCCTCGTGCCGCAGAGATGTTGCACCATCAGATTTAGACTGCTGGTTCCCACACACTGCTAAAATAAATAATATACTGATAAAACCACATTTTACAGGTCAATTTCAGACACATTTTTGAATTGTCAGTCAGGTGACTTTAATACACTGGAGTTCATTTAGTGCTTTATGGCTGAAGCTGGAGTGAGCAGTGAGCCTTTAGCTCTTTGAGGGAGACCAACCCTTTTACAGCAGAGAGGAATTTAATTTAGAGTCCATTAGCTGGTTTGTAGTTGGTACCCCAGCATCCTCATGGATCTAGAGTCCTTCTGGATGATGCAGCCATCTCATCAAAACATTCCCTAAATTAGACATTGTGGACTAATATTTTAAACCCTCATAAAGTGCTTAATTGTGTTTCAAAGTAAATGGTTGAAGATGTGAGTGGATTCAGAAAAGTGGTTAAAAAACTTAACTTCCTGTTGCAGCTATCAGTGGATCAGGATTCAGCCGCAGCAGACAGCTAACGCTTTCTCCTCTGTTGAGCTTTCGTTTGTGTCATCGACAAGCGTACTGCAGTAATTTGAACCCGATTCATGATGGTGAAATCACTGGCATCTGTTTGTATACTATAAGCAAAAGAAACTATGACAACATTCTAAAACAATATTGCAACTGCGCTGTTTTCAATTAACGTAATACTTTGTTTATCTCTCGGAGGAAAATCAGGACGCACCACAGACTAAAGTGTATTCTTCTAAAACGCATCAATCTGAAATAACGGGACAGGAAATTCTATAAAACGCTTGTGAACTAAATAAATTACAGTTTTGCAGCCTGAACACCCTCAACTACAGTATAGCATTACAGAATATTGCCAACAATGAAAAGTGGCGTTTGAGGGACTTTAAACAACTTCAAGGAGTTTTGTTCTTCAACAAGTTAAATTGTTCTTTTTTAAAGGGTCTATAGGAGGCAGAACCGATCAGAAGAGGCGTTGAACCAGTGTGAAAAGTCTTTGCAGCTGCTGAAGGACTGCAATAAGCCAGAGGAGACGTGTGCCGTCTATAAAGACATGGCAGCTATTGAACAAGACAGAGGTCATTTGGACAGAGCTATAACGCATCTCTCCAAGGCAGGAAACGATACAAACACATACAATCTTGTTTTTATTTAAAACCCCATGTGTCAGCTTATTTCAGTCTCTCCTTTCGTGGTATGTGATCTGTCTTAATTCAAATGGGTGTTTCTGCTAGGCTCATGCCGTTGCTATGAGTCACAATCCAGAGGGGCTACAGGGGGCTCAGATCTCCCACAGTCTTGCCATGATCCTTTCTGCTGCACCAGAGCCCCATCACAATGGTGAGTTTATTCACAAACAGAGGCGAGCCCTGAGTAACTTACACAAGAGGCTAATTATGGGGTTTGAACATCTCATTGTCGTTCACTATGACGAGTTCTTTAAGATGACATTATAGAAAGCAGCCGTGCAAAAAGCCTCTTTGTTGACCAAGTTCAGGCTTGTTTCCAGTTTCATGACAAATGCGAGCTAAATGGAAGCACATAACAACTGGAAATAAGAAAACCTTGTCTGAAAGTAGCTTTTGCTGCTTACGGGGAGAGGTTTCAAATTGGGGATTCTGTCCAATTGTCGCTATGGTTGAAGTTAAATTCCTGTTTTTCTCTTTGCTGCTGTAGATGCTGCGGGTCAGTACTTTGAGCAGAGTCTAAGTGCATATAAAAACTCTGTAGGCCTGCAGGATCCAGCCTTCCTTTCTGTCCAGGATGACTTCTGTCGCTTTCTTCTCATCAATGGCCAGCGGGAGGTAAAACGCAATCGTGCTAAAATCAATTAAAACTAACAATAAGATGGAGCCATTGCACTTTTTTTTTAATAGAAAATACCAATAAACTTCTTTGAAATACACCTTTAGATTTTTAACATGTACTAGGTTTATTTAAAGAAAGCAGAAACTTAAGCTTACCTCTAACTTCTGAGTGAAGCAGCTGAATCCACTTGTTTCTGTACCTGCATCAAGATTTGATTTACTTTGATTAAATCTGAACAGAAATGTATGGAGATCCAGAGGGCCTCTCTTGATTTGAAAAGATCTGCGTTTGGAGACCTGAGTGCTGAGGTAGCAGACGCTCTTCAGCTGATTGGAAGTGTAGAGATGGCTGAGGGCCAGATGAGCCAGGCCCACAGGACCATGACAAAGGTAATCACGTCACAGAACACGCATGTCGTAATTAGGAGTACTGCCTAAGAAAGCAATAGTTACCGTCTTCAAACAGAACATTGTCCCTTCCAGACTGTTGTAGAAGCTTTTATTTAAAGGCCAGGAGTCAGGCAGGTTGGGCCAGCCACAGCAGTGATACGGTGCCAGGCCTGTCCAGAAGGGACACAAAGCGTCCCTGTCATTTTGAGATGAGCTATTTCCGCCGTCTCTTTAGAGCTCAATGTTATCAAAGTTACATGCTAATCTTGGAAGGGTTGCAGTGTGCAGCCAGTGTTAAATATCACACAGAGTGACTTTCCTGCCAGATGAGCATTGTAACTTTGGAAAGAGAAGGGCGGTTTGCTAAATGCAGTTAATTATAGGGACGCTGACCCCAATTAGTGCAATATACCATTATGTCCCCTGAAGCAAAAGTGACATTCAGGTGTCTTTCATTATATAGGCATTAAACAAATGGTAGTCTTTGTTTTGGTAATTAAATCCACTTTTATTACTCATACTTTAATTTACAGTTATTGCTTCTTATGCAATGAGTGGTGGTGTTTTATGCTGCACGGCTGCAGATTTGCCACATGAGCTCAGTCTTCCCACCACAGTAATATGCCCAAGGAAAGGGGCTTAGCTTTATTCAAGTAAAGGCATGTTTCTAAGTCAAGCAGTCTAGTTGCTATGTTGCTTTTGTTGTTGCTATCTGAGCTCAGAGGGGGTCCCAAGTATGACAGGACTCGCTCTATCGGCACTGCGTCCAACACGTAACCTTTCCGAAGTGCCTTTACCCCAAGCGGATATGTCAGGGTTATTTTTTTTTTAACTCCTGTCATCACAACACCACTTATACTCTGATTGAGTAACCTTTGCTTTGAAAAAACAAAACTTGTTTATGCAGTGGATACAGGACTCAAGAGGAACTGAAAACAAAGAACAATGGAGCACAAAGACACCAGTGACTTTCCCCTCATTCTTCCTGTGAAGTTTGACTGAAAACAGGCCTTCCATTACATCAGCCGTAGCAACGGTGAAAACATCCAAGAGGCCAGATGGATGTCTTCCAGATTACCCTTGTTTTGCTTTCCCCAGTGAAGAGGAAAGCTGTTCTCTCCCTCGTTCCTGCTTTAAACATTTGCTTCTTGTTATTTGTGAGGATTTCAGAAAAGGGTGGCAGTTTTTTATTTTTTGCCGCGTGTGTTAAAATGAGCAATCGTGTTCATGTTTTAGGTTTTCTGTAATTTATTACATCATAGATTCAAATAAATGTAGCTTGTTTTTCATATGCGATTGGCCAAATTACATACAATAAAGAAAATGTTGCAATCAGACTTTTTGTGTGAGCTACCTTATATTCTTGAGGTCTTGATTAAGTGCACTCATCCAGTTTTTGGCAGATCTGTTGTGTTTTACTTGACACTCCAGAGTGGTCGGCACAGGTGTTATCTAAACCTCGGACTGCTATCGGGGTTATTTTGGTACGTTTAGTGCAACCAAATGTTGCTAGGATGTGTTTCTTCCTCTACGAGTATTAGTTGCACTTCTCATCCTCATCTTACCTCTCTCACTCTTATATTTGTGTGTTTTTAATTTTAGTGCCTGAAGATTCAGAGCTCGTTATACGGTCCTCAGCACAAGAAAACAAAAGCGGTGCAGAAAGCTGTGGACGTGCTGGCGAGGTAATCAGAAGAGATGTTACATTTACAGCTAAATCAAGTTTAAAGTAAAGGTTAAAGACTTTTGAGAATGCATTTCATGCTTTAGTGATGCACCCATTTGCTGTATGGTTTTCAGGACAACAGAGGTGGTCGAGAGACAGCAAAGACAAGCCAGAAGGAAAAAAAAGGCTGGACATGTTTACGATTATACCATCCAGTAGGAACATTGAAAACTCCATGTCTGAGTCTTAAAGCCGCGTTTCTGTCTTTTATTTTTTCATCCTGTAACTACAAATGTGTCAGAGGTTTGAGTCATGAGATACAACAATTGTGTAATCAGTATGGAAACTTAATGTATCTGTGCATCTGAATGTTGTGGGGACAAAAAAAAATCACAAACGGTCAGGTGCAGATTTCATCAAATTTATTACAAAGCTTCGGAGAACAGCCAGACCCACAGATTCAACACATTACAAGTACATAATTTATTCATGTCATGTCCCATCCAAGTTTCTGACCCGTTCTGGCTTCCTGAAGCAAAGTTGTTAATTTTTAGGACCCTCCTGATTACAGTTCTGCCAGCTCCCACTCTATGTGGTGCCATTTGTAAAGTTACACAGGCAAAAATGAACAGCAATATTTTGGTTTCTTTAGCCTTTAATAATAAAAAATAAAAAAAACTTTTTTTTTCCAAAGTCATATTTTCACCATGTTATCCATACATTTATAAATGTCATAGTTCCAAATTAATATTTAATTTACAAGCTAAATATTTATTTTACTAACTAAATACTTAACTTGCAAGTTAAATATTTAGTTAGTAAACTAAATATTTTGAAAATAAATATTTAACTTACACCTAAATATTTAGTTAGTGAACTAGGTGTAAATTAAATATTTAATTTCCAAGCTAAATATTTATTGTCCAAGATAAATATTTAATATCCAAACTAAACATTTCTAAGCTAAACATTTAATTCCTAAAGTAAATATGCAATTTGCTAACTAAATATTTAACTCAGACCTAAAAATTATTTAGCTTGCAAGTTAAATATTTAGTTAGCAAATTAAATATTTATTTTGGAAATTAAATGTTTAACTTAGAAATTAAATGTTTAGTTTGGAAATTAAATATTTAGCTTGGACAATGAATATTTAGTCTGGAAATTTAATAATTAGCTTGGACAATAAATATTTAGTTTGGAACTATGACATTTATAAATGTTTGAATAACATGGTGAAAATATGACTTTGAAAAAAAAAACTTTTTTTTCTTATGAAAGGCTATAAATAAACCAAAATATCGCTGTTAATTTTTGACTGTGTAACTTTACAAACGGCACCCCATACCACCCTTCGTCCTGCCCCAGCCATTATCACATCAGCTGCAAGCTGAGATGGGGGGATGTTGAAGAAAACAAGCACCTCTCAAGGATTCCCGGGGAACAAATATCAACTAAATAAAGGGATGACGACCCATGAACTCTTTGCTGTCTTCTTACAGATAGTCACATCAAAAATGATTATACTATAAAAAATGAGAACATTATCATTCTGACAGTTCATGATCGCATATTAATATTAAGGTTATTAATATGGTAAAATAATATTAAATGTATCAGGAAGCAGATCAATAAATGATATATTCCCTTCACACTAAACACAATCCATCCTTCTAAAAACTTTGCTTTATGTGTCTCTGAAACACAAGTTGTATTTTTGCTATATTTTGTATTTTAGTCAAAAACACTCCTTGGAAAAGTGTGAAGTACAGCCGAGAAGAGAAAATGTCCGAACATATCACCAGACTGAATTCATAGTGTTTCACTTCTGACTTTAAAAACAGCAAACGACACAACAAACATTAGCGAAGACTCGGCGCCACTAAGCAGATGATCCGAAAATAGTCTCGGTTGTAAATACACTCTTAGGTCAGAGCAAAGTTGAACTCTGTGTGCCAGCACTGATACTGAACAAATGTGAGCGAACAAAACGGTGCAAACAACCTGCATCAGCTGCAGTTAGAATAAAATACACTCAGTGTGATTACGTATTTTTTCACAATTGCTCTAAAATTCACTATTATTTTTTAGATTTCTGTATTGTAGTGTAAAATATTGGTTTCCAAATTCCCAGTCACCTATTTGAACCTGAATGTTATGTAAAATTGTACAGTAATGTGGTACCGTACCTTGTAAAAATATACTAAACATATTTGGACATCTTCATCAAATTGGTTGAATAAATGTTTTTCGTTCACAGTTAATGAAAAATATAACTTTTATGTTATAAAGCTAAACAATCTAAAATATCAAGCAATGTTATTTTATGCCATGTTTATACCTTATTTACTAAAATAGTTTTTCCCTATCCCACAATAAACTTTAGCCCCAAGTTTAACTACATTTTATGTTAGTGACTTCTTCCTAAACTAACCACATTTCTCTGGATGTCGTGTTTTGTAGAAGAGTCCAAGGCACAAAAAAGGTTAAAACTCCAATCTGCAAATGGAGCAGAAGCACCTCATGACTCATGACCCGTGTTGATCTGCATTAAATGTAAATACAGAAGACTCAACATTGTGAAAGAATGGCTAAGTTAATGGTGTCGCTAACGCAAATATAGGCTGTTCATGCTCAACAGAACAGTCTAAGCTAATTAAAAAAGAAGAGATTAAACATATCTATTTGAAGATAGCGTGGAAGTTGTGTAAACACATAAACATGCATCAGCATTCCCTGCAGCTTGTAGATGCATCATCCCTAACTTCATCTGGTTAATATCCGTTCGTGCTTGGTGTTTTGGTGAACGCCAACTGACTAAATATTGTAAAAGTTCACAACAAGCTCGTTTAGATATCTTGGTTTGCAGACATATTCAGCATTTGTGTGTCACGTGTGGACTGTTGCATTAGAGTAGCTTCTGTTCAATTCCAGATGTTTTTTTTCTCTACTCTAAAGGGCCTTCAAGGTAAACTGTTGCAACACGTTTTTCTTCCGATGTCTTCACCGGGGATTCCAAAATCAGCTCCGGCTCTGAGCTTGCCACGGCGATACTGCCCTGATCATCCATTTGAAAAGTGAAAGACTTCTCTGATGGCTCCAGTTTGATGTGTTTTTCAATGATCTGAGATGTAGAAGCCTCATCGTCACCGAAGCCTTCAAAATCCCCAACATGAGCAACCTCCTCTTCAGAAACTCTGATGCTGTACCCAGCTCCTGCCCCTCCCTGGAAGGCTTTCTCGAGATCCAGGTTAGACGCTCTGAGAGCTTTCATGATCTGCTCCTCAGAAAGATCGTCTCCTTCCTCCAGCAGTCCAGAGTCTTCAAGGGTTTGAGAGACATTTAGCTCTGCAACTATTGTCATGGTTCCATTATTGGTGGACTGCTCAACTTTTCTAACTTCCAAATTATCTGGACTTTCTCTGCTCAGTTTTGTGAGGAACGCTAGTTCCTCCTTCAGAGGACCTGACACTGAACTTTGTAATGTCTCCAGAGCTCCTTTCAGCTGCTCTTTGGGCTCCAAGGAGTCCTCTCTTAGAAACTCCAGCACTGACTCTTGCACTATAGGTGAGACACGAACCTCTTCTTCAATGATGCACTCTGGAAAATTCTCTTTGGCGAACGAGGGTTTGCCTGACTTGAATTCATCACTTCCCTCTACAGTCACGCTTCTCTGTGGAAGGCTCTCATCTTGATAATACCTTTCATCTGACAGGTCATCTACAATTCCATAATGACCATATGACATTATCCCTCCACCCTCCTCAGGTTCAGATAGGTTTTCATCTGGTGTGGACACAAAATACTCACGTAAGTCTTGGTCTTGGGAAAACTGTGGAGACTCATTTTCTCTAAAGACTTCCTGAACTTGTACAGATCCACCACTGGACTGGTTTGTGACTCCTTGGGAGAATTTCATCTCATCAATCTCACTTTTTTCTTCTTGAGGAGCACAATGGACATTTTCTATTTCCTCAATTTGGAAATGTGTTGAGGGCTCATTAAAACTAGATCCTCTCTTCTCTTCAACCTCTAGCTCCTTGTCACTATGAGATGCAATAGGTTCCTCAATGATTTCCACATTGACAGACTTGTTATCCAAGCTTTCTCCTTCTTGAAGGCTGCTTAGCAGATTCTTAATCATGCTTCCTGTTGCTGTATCTTCTATGTCCTCTAGTGACACTTTCTTCACACATTGGTTCAGGAGTTCTTCCAGGACAGAGTCCTCAGAAACATCCAGCTCTTCCTCCACCTTAGACTCCAGGACAATCTGTGTCTTGGTGGTGCCATCATCCTGCTCAGTTTTCTCCACGTGGTAACTGACCTTTGAGTCTCCTGATGAACAGACCTTAGCCTCTAAACCTGCTGGTTTGATCACTTTCTCAATAATATCCTCTACTGATACGGAGTCTAGTATTTTTTTCTCAGTTGAGCCTGTAGAAGACTCTGCTCTCCCTTTATCTTTCAGCTCCTCACGATCACTGCATCTCTCATCCTCATCTGACACGTGCATTTTGCTTTCTGTCTCAGTCTTTGTGCTGAGGCTCAACTTTGGGGGTGATGCCACTCTTACTGATTTGCTGTCGGTTGTAGCACCGATCTGGCTTTCTGGAGAGACCTGTTTGAGTCTCAAAACTTGCTCCTCTGGCACAATTTTCTGAACGTTTTGACTCATTTGGTTTTGACTCTGACCAAAGTGTTTATCTTTGCTGGTGGTGGTGGTGGTAGCGGGGGCTGGAGCGGCAGCCCGAGCTTTGTTGAATGAGATCATGTCCCTTCTGGACGCCGGACTCTGATGGCGAGCTCTCTCTGCAGCTGAAATAGGAGTGACCCTGGAGGGACTTACAGACCCAGATGTCGTCACTGGGGATCCTCTCAGGTTTGCTGGTGATGTATAGCTAATATCCATATGTCGTCTTGTGGTTAAGGTAGAAGTTCTTGGAGTGAAAGTTTGGGCAGGCATCTTGATATCTGAAGCATAAAAATAGCATAAATACTTATTAACCTATTGAGTGCTGCTTAGTATTTAGTCTCCATCAAGTTCAATATTGTACCTATTATTCTTTCCCTCTGATGTTGATTCACCCTCCTGTGAGCATCTTGTAGACCATCTCTTTCACTTTCCAGGAGAGCCCTTATCAAAGACAGGAGAGAAAAAAGGATACAGACAAATGAACCAGTGCATAGTAGATATACAAAAAACAAAAAGACAATTACCTCACAAAATCGAGTACGTCGTTTGCCTCTGCCATTTCAACCCCCTCAAACTAAACTCCACTGGCTTTACAAGACTGTATGAGTCCTGAACCTGCCCATATAAGGTAGCAAACATCAAAACCAGCTCAAGCTGTTGTTTTTTTCCACTTGTCAAAACTTTGTTGTAATTAGCTCAAACTCGCCTTATCTCAAGAGACAAACCTGAATCCCTCTAAAAACGACCTCTCCTGTGCCTTTCCAAAGACAGGTCTAAAAATAACAATGACGATGTGGGACTGTCCACAGTCCTTTGTAATAAATCTCAGCTAAAGCAAACTCGTGACTCACAATAACACATACGACCGCTAAGTCTTTTAGTGGTTATACCGTACTATCCAAATATTGAAAACCAACCAGATTTCTCAGGGAAGAATCCAGTCATGTAGGTTTTCTTCTTAAGAACTTCCTGAAAGTTGTTGCAATACAACTTTTGTATTCCTCAACGATTTCATTGAAGATGTTTTTATCTGCTTTACGATACGTGACAAGAGGCTGTGATATGACAATAATATACTCCTTAAATGTAAGAATACACTTTCGCAACTGTTTTGGAAATTTTGCCTTTTAGGAGAAAACAGCCTGTTATTTTGTCATTGTGTGTAATAGTCAATACACGGTATACAGTACCATAGGATCAATGTTATCAGTTTATCTTGATACACTTCCACAGAACTATTGATGATGTAAACAGGTCATATGTAGAAATTAGGAAACAGATTTCAGCTACTCATTTACAGTTCAATTATCCAAAAGATTTATTAAAACAAAATTTATATGCAAGCAGATAAATAATTAAGTCTTTAATAGGGATGCACGATATTGGATTTTTGGCCGATATCTGATATACCGATATGTTAAAACTTATTTGGCTGATAACCGATACCGATACTTCCCTTTGTCAGAACATATCTTCTTATTTAGGCTTATTTGCTACAAAAATTGTGCAACAGCTGTAAGAGCTGGTGACATATATTCAGTAACAACCATATGATATGCATACCATTTTAACTTATATTAAATGAAAAATGTTAAATGTTATTTATTAGCATTAGTCACTTGCGATGCTGTCTCACTTGTGGAGGCTTGTTCCAGGTTCTTAGCTGCAGTGTGGAATCATCTACACTCTTGTGCATGAAGGTCAGCCTTTTTAAGGTCAAAGTTTTTGTCTATCCATTGTGCCGTAAGACTAAATCATGCTAACGGGGCTAACACTTGACGTCCAAATGTTTGTGGGGTGCTATCGGCTATGAGTTTCTCAATGACGTCGGAAATGACGGCTTGTAACTCGGGTAAGGCTACGTCGGAAATATATCTCCAACTGGGAACGATGTAGCGAGGCTCAACGTAGTCCAAAAATCTTCAGAGTCCATTATTGAGCATGCATCAGGATATTCAGAATCCAATATTCTCAAGGAAAAAAATAATTCCACATCGCCAACATTTTGAATTTTCTTCTCCGTCGTGGGATTAGGTAGGCGGGCATGACATCATCACGTTGTGCTGCCGCTGCAGGCATCCTTGTCACTGGGTTGTCATAGAGAAACAGAGCCTTTTATATCTGTGAGTTATTTTGATGGAATGGCTTATGTCCGATATTGAACTTTAACGCTAACATCGGCTGATACCATTTTGTGCATCCCTAGTCTTTAATCCAGAATAACTTCAGGAAGGGGAAGAATGATTATTTTTTTTAAGAAATATGGAATTATTCCAAAGCAGGTTAAAGCAAAAATTTAAACATCTTTTGTATTTCACATACAAACACACAGCTTCAAACCAGAATATTACTGTATTTTGAAACTGGTTTTCATATTCTCATCAAAAACACTTTCTGTACTTTAATATTTCAATTCAGATTTAGTTCAAATAACTTGTACTTCTGCAACATCTTCTGAAAAGTCACTTTTACCCAAAAAAACCCAGTAGGTCTTGTTTTTAGGACACCAAAATAAATTTTAAACACAAGAAAACTACTTATCCCCTACAGAGAGAAGCGTACTCTAAAATGAATGTTTAAATTTGCTGCTTTGGGCTTCAGTTACAGAAGTTGAGCATGTCAGCTGACTCTGTGCTTCTACATCACCCAAAGTATCGCCATAGCTTCTTCTCCATGTGATATTAAAACATGAGCTTTATTTGATTCGAGCGGACAACAAAAAGCAGAAAGACTGATCACCTGTAAGCAGCCACCTCCATGCCCAGGTCCATCTTCACCTGGAGAAGGTGCTGGTGTTCTCTCATTTTTTCTTCCAAAGCACCAGCCAGCATGTTCCTCTCATGCTCGAGCCGCTCAATAACCATCTGGATGGAGAAAACTGGTTACCGTTAAATAATGCTTATTCGTCACACTTTAATCAATTTGTTTTTTTAGTTGACTTTAGTGGCAAAGAAAATCATGCAGAGTGCCATCTTTTTTTAACTGGCCTGCCTGCTCCAAGCCGCCACCACTTTTAGGAGACTAATAAGGATTTGTCAGTCTGACAGCTAATCGGTTTAAGTGGATGGACTAATCCAGCGACTGTAAATCTACAGCTGACCAGCGACTCAGTCGTTTTATGAGGAGGTCAATGGTTCCTGAAAGAGACAAGCTCAAACTCAGCGTGTTTGCTCCTTACAGATTTCTTCCGTTTTAGCTTTTTTGTCACACCTATGTTTGAGATCAGCAAAAAAACAAAGAGTAAATATAAAAACAAACATAACCTGAGTAAACAAAATGCAGTTTTTATACGATGATTTCATTTATTAAAGGAAAACGGTGATCCAACCCAACTTGGCTCTGTGTGCAATTTATTGCCCCCCCCCCTCATGATTTAAATATGATTAACCACACTTTTTTTGTAAAGCTCAGTTAAATGTCACAGCCGCACCCAGCCCTGATCACTGCCAGATCCGTAGAATCAATAAATCACGGTTATCTACAAATGGAGAACATTTGGAACAGTGGTGAACCTTCCCAAGTGAGGCTGGCTCCAAACTTACTCAGATCACATCCTGGTCCCTAAAGAACCTGCAGCATCTAAAAAAAAAACCTGCAGGCTCGGTTAAGGTCAGAGTTCATGCTTCAGTGATAAGAAAGAGATGAAGGTCAACAATGACAAGAACACAAAAGAGCATCTCACAACAGCCAATAAACATTTTGATGATTCTGAGGAAAATTATTTGTGCACTAAGACCAAAGTGAAACCTTTTGGAGGATGTGTCTTTCTGATATAGAGCATTTCCAAAAAAGATCATAGTCAAACATGGTGGTGATAGTGTGATGGTGGGGCTGCTTTGCTGCTTCAAGATCTGGACGACTTGCCGTAAATGATGGACTCTGCTTTCTACAAGGAGAACATTTGTTCTGCAGCAGGACAACAATCACACCAGCTAAAAGTCCTCCAGGGTCAGTCATCACAAACACTGGAGCGCAACAGTTACCTCGAGAGGAGGGAACAAACAATTTTAGGGTTCAATTACTTTTTTCACAAACTGATTGGTTTGAATTGATTGTATCCCCTTCATAAATGAAATCATTGATTAACAGTTTGTTTTTGCCTAATACCTGTTGATCTGAAACATGTCAGTGATTTTTTTTAAGCAAAAACAAAACACGGGGGTGAGTTCTTTTCACAACACAGGTGGATAAACTATAAACATGCAGAGCTGACGATGAATAATTTATTTGTTGCAGCTCTGGACAGCTGCTGCACCAGAGCCTTGCAGTCAGTGGGTGTGGCGGGGGACAGGCGGGTGTGTGTGTGTGTGTGGGGGGGGGGGGGGTACATGCATGTAGACGCGCACTCCTCACCTGATGTTCACTCAGGTCCACGCGGAAGTGCTCCTGCATGTTCACCAGCTGCTCCTCCAGCCGCAGCTGCACCTGCCCTGTCGTCTCCGCCTCCGCGCGCAGTTTGTCCAGCTGGGAGGCGTAGAGCATCCTCTCCCTCTGCAGGTCGCCCAGCCTCGCCTGGTCCTGCCTGATCGCGCGCTCCATGCCCTCCACCTTCTGCTGGTACATTTCAAACGTCTCTATCCAGCCGTCAGACAGGCCGCGGGCGTACTCCTGCACCTCCTCCACGGAGACCGCGGAGGGGCCGCGGTAGGTCTGCATGAAGAAGGGCGCCGCCCGGGACTCCACCTGCCGCCGGAGGTGGGCCACCTCCTGCTTGCGCGCGCCCTCCAGGCGTTCGTACTCGTGCTGGAGTTGGGAGAGCCGCTGCTGGAGCTCGCTGTTGACTTTGTGCGCCTGCTGGAGCTCCTTCTCGCAGCCTTGCAGCTCCCCGTCGATGTCCCGGCACACCTCGCTCTGCTCGCAGCACACACACCGGACCGCCTGCAGCTCCCGCCGCAGCTTCTCGCGCTCCATCTCAGCGCGGGACTTCTCCTGGGACAGCTGTTCCACCACCCTCCGCAAGTCCCGCATCTCCTGCCTGCTCTTCTGCTCCCACTCCGCCGTGCAGCCCGCCTGCCGCAGTTTGTTCGTCTCAGCGAGAAGATGCGCGTTCTCCTGCTCCAGCTGCTTGGTTCTGGACAGATAGCGCGCGAGTCTGTTGTTGAGCTCGTGCAGCTGCTGCTTCTCCCCATCAAAAGTTCTCTTGAAAGGAATCATTTTAAGTAAATAAATAAGTAGCCCTGTGTTTTGTTGTTATTGTCCTGGTGTTCGCCCGTGAGTCTTTGGTTAGAAGTGTGATGTAATTTGCCGATCCCTTTGACAAGTGCAGGAGGTGGAGGAGGAGGGCGGGTCCTGAATGCATCACAGCCTCAGGAGCGTCCCACGCCTGAAGGCCCTGTCCTCCAGCAGATGTGATGCTGCATTCAAGTGCTGTGTGATCTCCGCATTCTAAAAAAAAAAAAAGTAAAATGTCACAGTTTCATCATAATATATTTTCAGTTCCTGTAACTACATCTACAGTTCCTTTCATCTAATGCACTCTTTAATGACTGGAAAATGCACAAGGAGATAAGGAGCCTGAGAAATTTCTTCTCTGCCACTTTCAGTGCAGAAGAAAATCAGCAAATGTGAGTCAATCTTACTGCCTACAGTCTAATGACACTTTTACATTTTCATTCAGAACTGATTTAATTAGTAAATACTAAGTAGAAATTATACTCGGAAAACATAAACAGTCCGCATCTATAAATAAATATAATTATACTTCTTTAATTTGTTTGTTTGTTCAAATTGTTAAATATTTGAGTGTCTGGTGTTAGTATATTTTTAAAAAACTGACGAAATGGTAAAAATGTGAAGTGACGTAATTTGAAGTGTGTCAATCTATAATTAATGGACTTTTTCGATGACTTGCACAGTTGATGGCATTCTTTCCGTGAAGCCCTTGAACGCACCGTTGCTACGCCCAGCTGGACGTTTTATTTTAGATCAGCGCGCCCCCTGCTGGACAAAACCAGAGTTACCGGCTCTTAGAATAACTGCGCCCTTTTAGCTTTGCTGCGAACTTCAGCACATTATGAACGAAAAGGAAATCGTTGTCATTACAGGTAAAATAAACAGTTGCTTGTTCGCACATGAGCCCCTTCTCAAAGCAACATTTATAGTGAAATAAATAAGAGTTTTAAACGCAGCCTCTCTATTTTAAGGGTTCGGACCGTTCAGACAGTTTTGGGAGAACCCCAGCTGGAGAGCAGCTCAGGTTGTTAAAAAAAAAAAAAAGCTTTTTATTTTGTACCAGTGTTTCTTTATGAAATGTATTTCATAATTTGACAAATACTGCAGGATTTGAAAGTGGCTGGACTGGGAGAGAAGCTCGAGGTTTCCATCAAGAAGCTTCCGGTCAGTTATTCCTCAACTCATCAGATTATCTCTGGAATCTGGAAAAACCTCAAACCAAAGGTAAGAAACACTGGCTCATGTTGGTTTGGAGACAGTGGTTGTCACTAAAAATTACCTCCACTCATTCCACATATAAATAGACATCCTTGTAAACGAGATTAATAATCTCAATTTATTTATTTCCTGGTAAAATAAAGGTTTAAATAAAAAAAATTAAAACGTTTTTAAATTACAAACTATTCTCCTGTTTTGCAAAGGAGGGCCAGAGATAAAAACAAAACATAGATTAATTTAAAATTAAATAAATAAATAGAACATTTTCAGCATTTATGTGTACTTTAATGTTTGGGAGTGGTGGCGCAGAGATTAGAGAATGTGGGCCTGTGATAGGAAGATCACTGGTCCAACTCCTGGTACCGACAACGTCAAAATGTGGGTGGGATTGGTAAAGCACCCACACCTGCCTCCACCCTCATTCGTCCCACTCTGGGCCCTTGAGCAAGGCCCTTAACCCCCACCATCTGCTCCCCCGGGTGTCCTAGACAGCAGCTCTTTGCTCCACCCAGAGGGCTGTGGTAGCTCGGTGGTCTATGGTTGCATCAGGAAGGGCATCCACCATCCGTGTAAAAATAATCGCCACGTCTTCGTTCGCTGTGTCGACCCCTGAAGAAGGGAGCAGCCGGGAAAAAAAGTGTACTTTAATGTTTGTCACAACTTTTGTGGGGATGCAAAGTGTTTATTACAGAAACAGACCAATTTATTACCTTTACATAATTATTCACACACATTTAGGTGATTTTCCATCAAAAGTGAAGCTCTCCTGGGTCTTTTTCTATGAAACCCATCCATCCATTCATCCATCCATCCAGTATCTTCCACTTGTTCCAAAGTCAGATCATGGGGGCAGAAGCTTGAACAGGGAGGTCCAGACATCTCTTTCCACAGCCACCTCTTCTGGGAGGACTCCAAGGCATTCCCAGGCCAACCGAGAGATAGTCTCTCTAGTGTCCCGGGTCTTCCCCTGAGTCTCCTCCCCATTAGACATGTCTGAAGCACCTCCCTATGGAGGTGCCCAGGGAGCATCCTTACCAGATGCCTGAACCACCTCAACAGGCTCCTTTCAATGTGGAGGAGCAGCGATTCTACTCCGAGTCTCTCCCGGATAACTGAACTTCTCTCCCTATCTGGTTTCAGGTTTGGTTTACTTGTCATAAGCAGATCAACACAAGGTCAACAACACAATGAAATGCTGAGGACGAGAAGAACCGTATCGACTTGCCAAAAACAACAAAAACAAGAAATACCCAAGCATGCAGCAAAAATTACAAAAGCAAGGCGCCAAAAGTGAAAAAGAAATACATCATTACTGTGGTTTGGTTAGCAGTGAGGTTCTTTCAGCGGCATGGTTCTGTTCTGTTAGCGGCGTGGTCTTGTTAGCATCATTAGCAGGTCTTGTTAGCATCGTTAGCAGGTCTTGTTAGCATCGTTAGCAGGTCTTGTTAGCATCGTTAGCAGGTCTTGTTAGCATCGTTAGCAGGTCTTGTTAACAGGTCTTGTTAGCAGCTTGATGGTAATAATGACCACAGCAGCTGTTCTCACAGACTGCCTTCCAGAGGTCCAGTAGACGGAGGCTCTCCTATCTCTAAGGGAGAGTCCAGCCACCCTGTAGAGCAAACTCATTTCAACCACCTGTAGCTGCGATCTCATTCTTTCGGTCACTACCCAGAGTATGTGGCTGTAGGTGAGGGTAGGAACATAGACCAACCGGTAAACGGAGATCTTTGTCTTACAGCTCAGCTCTCTCTCCACCACAACAGACTAGCACAGAGTCCACAATACTCCAGATGTTGCACCAATCCATTTGTCAACCTCACGCTCCATTATTCCCTCACTTGTGAACAAAACCCAAAGATACTTGAACTCCTCCACTTCAGGCAGAACCTCACGCTGGACCTGAACAGAGCAATCCACCCTTTTCCGGTTGAGGACCATGACCTCAGATTTGGAGGTGCTGATTCTCATCCCAGTTGTTTCACACTCGGCTGCAAACCGCTCCATTGGGAGCTGAAGATCACGGCACGATGATGCCAGCAGGACCACATCATCTGCAAAGAGCAGAGATGGAATCCTGAGGTCACCGTACCAGACTCCCTCCGGCCCCTGGCTGCACCGAGAAATTCTGTCCATGAAAGTTATGAACAGAATCGATGACAACGGGCAGCCCTGTCTGATACTAGGTCTAACAGTTTGAAGCATGGCTGTATTATAAATACTATCAGTCTCTTTAAGGATACCAACATCTAGCCATGGTAATTTTGTAAAATATACTTTTGTTTACTTGGTCCTATACTAAAACCATGCATATTTATTACTTTTAACTGAATCCATTTCCACAAGAAATGAATCGTTTCAATGAGCTGTAAGGGTCCCAATAAATTCATCTACATCTGTATATTTTTCTCTTAGTTTGCTGTCCATGTGGGCATCGCAAGAGGTTCCAGTGTTGTCATTTTGGAGCAAACAGGGAAGAACTGTGGGTAGAGACAGGGATGTGTGTGGCATCTGCCCCACAGGTCACTGCTGTATCGAAGCCGGACCAGAGAAACTGGACTCGGTTGTGAACATGAAGACCATCTCCAAGCACTTTCAACACATTGAGATGGATGTGATTTATTCCAGGGATGCTGGCAGGTAGGCGTTCATTTCTGCATAACTGAGTACAAATAGTAGATAATGCCTTCTTACTTCTGTTCAGATACCTGTGTGATTTTGCGTATTACTGCTCGTTGTATCCCGGTGAGCGGAGAGCAGCTTTGATCCACATCCCCTCATCGGGCAGTCTCGCCTCAGCTGACAGACTGGTTCCTTTTCTGCAGGCCGTCATTGTGAGAATGCTCCAACAGCTGGAAGACCCAGAACAGCCCCACACGTCACACCCCATCAGCACACGTGAAACAAACTGTAGCATGACGGGAAATAATACAGGCAGTCACTGCTCTCATTGATTTGTTTAATCAAAATTTCAGAAAAAAGTAAAATACAAGAAATTTTCATACACATTTGGAGACGGCTTGTCCAAAAAAAAAAAAAAAAAAAAAACCAACAACACACCGTCTCAGTTATAGAAGTGATAAAAACAACTTTGAGGCTTCAGATACACAGACATCTTGAAAAAAGAAGACAGTCTAGTGAAAATCTTTTTGATTTCTTTCCCCAATCAACTTATTAACACACAGATTTTGCAAAAGCATTATAAGAGATAGTAGTAGACCAAGGCCCCTTAAAGGTGTAGGAATGCAAATTATACAAAACACATGAATGATAAACCTCAAACCTATTATTGCAGGGGGTGCTTGGACGCATCCTCCCGTAAACCTGACGTTTGTCTGAAGAACATTCTGGCGAATTAAAAAGATGAAAGTGACTAAACTAAGAGCTGTTGTCTGGAAGTCTAATTTAAACGTTAAATAAAAGCATCCAGTGTAAATTTGAAACTTTTTTTTTTTTTGCTAATCTCATTTAATTTTTATGTATACCCGTAACCTAAGCAACACCCTCTTCTCCTGCGTGTCCGTACTGGAAATGCTGCGGTTTCAACAGGTTTGAGAACGAACTGGAACCGCTCGCCTCACAGAAAAGATCACTTCTACTCAGAAAAGCTCGACTATGTCACGACTCATCCAAACTGAAGAAGCATCAACACACAGACATGTTAACGACTCAAACGCTTTGCTCTTACGTGACTTGTTTACATTTGGCAGCAACTGGACTCTTACTTTTTCTCATTTAAACGTATGATTTAAAGGAACAATGGTATGGGGTGACATTTGTAAAGCTACACAGTCAAAAATTAACATCAATATTTTGGTTTATTTAGCCTTTCATAAGAAAAAAACTAGTTTTTTTTAAAAAGTCATATTTTCATCATGTCATTCATACATTTATAAATGTCATAATTCCAAACTAAATATTTAATTTACAAGCTAAATATTTAGTTGACAAACTAAATGATTCTGTGCAAAATATGCTTAATTTACAAACTAAATATTTAACTTGCAAGTTAAATATTTAATTAACTAAATATTTAGGTGTAAATTAAATATTTAATTTCCATGCTAAATATTTTCAAAACTGAACATTTAATTTCCAAGCTAAATATTTATTGTCCAAGCTAAATATTTAATTTACAAACTAAACATTTAATTTCTAAGATAAATATCTAATTCCTAAACAAAATATTTAATTTGCTAACTAAATATTTAGCTCGAATGTAAATATTTATTTTCAAAGCTAAATATTTAGTTTCCAAAAATAAACATTTAATTTACTGACTAAATATTTAGCGCAGACCTAAATAGTTATTTTCCAAACTAAATATTTAATTTCCAAAATAAATATTGAATTTGCTAACTAAATAAGCAAGTTAAATATTTAGTTTGCAAATGAAACATTTAGCTTGGATCATTTAGTTTGGAAACTAAATATTTAACGTGAAAGTAAATATTTAGCTTGCTAACTAAATATTTAGCTTGCAAGTTAAATATTTAGGTTGGAACTATGACATTTATAAATGGATGAATGACATGGTGAAAATATGACTTTGAAAAAAAAAGTTTTTTATTTTTATGAAAGGCATAAACAAACCAAAATATTGATGTTAATATTTAAATGTGTAGCTTTACAAACAGCACCCCATAGCAGAGTACCCAAATTCACATTATCTGGTGGCTAACTCAAACTAAACTTTTATTGCTTTGGGGCGTTAAATTCAATCAGTTAGCCCATCAGTTTCACCAATATGCCAAACACAGAGTGAGACATCCAGCTGAGGTTTTATGAGATGCCAGAGCTACTTTGTGACTTCTTGTCTGCTTCTGATGATTAAAGATCCACTGTGGTGATTGAACTGGCAGCACTTTAAGTACAAGTACTATATGTATAAAATACTTGAGCTAGATGTAAAAAAAATGTTCATCAAGAAAGTCAGGTGAACATTAATAGAAATGAGCACTAAAGCATTGAATGGATAGAGTTGGACATGATTAAATTATGACATTCAAAGAACTTTACACAAATGATCAACTAAAACAAAGACTTGAATTAAAACACTGAGGGTCTCGATTTTTACCAAAGGTCAAAACATGCGAGGAGGTTGTTGATGCGCTTGTATGGAAAGTATTTACAACTCTGGATCAAAATGTCATCACTTTGTTTGGAATTAAACTCCACGTGAGAGATATGTCGCCTGCGAAATAAAGCGCACAGTTGAATAATTTAATTTTCCTTGGAGGTGAACGATACATTTCCCTTCTTTAATATTTCCTGTGTACTATTGTTAGTCTGTTTTTTTAAATATAACTTCATTTTTAGAGAAAGTTAAAGCAATGCTGTGTGTTTTCTGAAGTGGGGTTTTGTGGAAGTGTTCCAAACAATAAAATATCTGTTGCAGACAGCGTTTTAAACAATCTCATTTTGTAGGGATGCTTTAATTCTGACGGTACTGATGAGCTAACGGCTAGTCTGAGCCAGACCAACATTAAAATGAATTGTTGCCGTCCTAAAACAAATATGTCACAGTGGTTCAAGCTACTTTATAAACCTTCACATCACTGTCAGTTTCACATTACGTGGTTATTTTGGCACTAATACTACGATAGTCCTGCAGGAAGTGCTACAGCTAGCAGCTGCTACTATTTGCTCTTGAAACTAAGCACAGAACTGTATGTAAATAAACATTAAATGGAAAACTGGTGGCGATGTTTTATAAAATAACGTTCACATGAACTGCTAAAAAGTTTTTGAGACTGGAGATGCTTAAAGACGGTGGCCCAGTTTGGACTAGCCATTAGCTCTTTAGCATTAGCCATTGAGTCCTCTTGACTCAGTGACACTACCTGTATAAATAAAGCTTAAATTAAAAAACAATTAAAAACGCTCATCCATTGGGTCAAAATTAAACAAGTTCTCCAAACCAGGATCATTTAAAGACGCATCGACAACAGGTAAGATATTGTTTGTTCATCACTTTTCCACAGAACCCCACGTAAATAAATAGAACCTTCTCTTGATTGTTGCGTTTGGAGGACTTGAGGTTGTGAAAACAGGTTGGAACTCTGTGAAGGTGGAACGTTTATCGGTAAACTGTGTCGCCACATCCTGTTTGGTTCCGTTTCAGCAGAAAAACAGTGAAAGTTGACGCACTCGCGCTGCACTGCCTCAAATAGTTCTCGTTTCACGACAGTGATGCTGCAAAGACGCCGTGCCGACGAACGGTCAACTCACTTCGGTTCTGTTTCTACGTCAGACGTGGAACAAAAAGTCCAGATATTCATGAACCAAACATGTCCGTTCCATCTTGCGTCCTAGCCCGTGTAATGAGAGCTCTGTGGTTTCATTTGGGTGAGGTTTCTGTTGAAACTGCTAACAGTGAGATGCATCTGTGTATTTTCTGTTCTGCTCATATAAGATATTTAAAGAGTGAGGTAGATAGATGTCTGAAAGGGGGGTAAAAAATTTAAAGTTTGCACTGAATCAAGGGGCATTTATACAGTGATTTACAGTATATTGGTATTCCCCCCAAAAAGGAAAGCACATAATAAATAAACATTCATACAAGGAAAAAAAGGCTTCAAGGAGAAAATAAAAAAAACCACCAGGCAACATGAGAAAATCCTTCAAAACTCTTGAACTGTCCAGTCGTTTTAAGACCTTTTTTTAAATATGCAATATTGAGACGTGTTCCCTTCCCTGGACTTTAAAACCCATCCTGTATTTGGTTTTCAGAGGCAGCGGTTTCGAAGACAATCAACCAGTTAGAAAATGTCACTTTGAAACAGCAGCAGGAGTATCCAGCTGCTGGAGGGGTGGAGGAGGGGGAGAGGTGGGGACGGGGGGGTAAATGCTCGATGTTTAGTAAATTAAGGCAAACAAGACAACCCAGTCAGCCCTATTTATCTGAGAGGAGGCATGAAGCAGGTGGGCAACCGAACCAGAGCTGGTCTGAAGTAATCGTCTCGTACATTTGAGCTAATTCGATGTTAAAAGGAGGCACCGGGGGAGAGATGGGTGCAGTTCACTGCAGGGGGGTTGGAGGTGGGGGCATACAGGTTGGTATAATAATAATATGTGGTGAAAGCAAAGCCTTTACTTTAACCTGAGATCGATTTGCACCTAGAGGGCAACGCTAGACGCAGTGCTAAACAAAGAAAGTACAAAAAAAGGGTGCAGAAAGTACACGGTCACACATCAATCTAAGTTGTTCATTTATAATATTAATAATAATAATATACATTTACAAAAGCAAATACAAAAGGAAACATTTCATAAAAATAAAAGTCAATGAGTTGTTTCTGAAAACCTTTTAGGGAAAGTTTATTTTCTCTTGTTTTTTTTTTTTTGTTTTTTTTAATATATCATAAAGATAATAGAAATGGATTGGTAGGAGATCACAAC